TAGGGAAATGTTTTCAAAAAGAACCAGATTTGCTCTTCTCCTGAAGAGCAGAAACACATTTTAAAGATCAAACAAAAGAAATAATTATGTGAAACCAAGTGGCAAAAACCACAGCACAAAAATCTAGTACACACATATTAGGTGCCTTTCTTTTGATGCCAGGTGTTTAGTATCATCCTTGTAAAATACGTCAAATGAAAATTTGCCAAATCATGCACACAAAAATCGTCTTTCCCAATTTACAAGAATGCTAATGATAGCATTGATCTCATTTTATTCACCTAGTAAACAAAACTGCTCGTTGAGGCAGAGCAGAATTTCTCAGAAGTGAAGAAAACAGCATTCAAATAGTACAGGGTGAAAGCTTCCACCCATCTGCTAATCAACAGAAGACCTGCTTTAAGAGGTTCCATGTTACAAAATTTCACTTTAAGATTTATATGTTACCTAGATATGTCACACACACTACAGACAAGTTTTTAAAATAGGAATATGTATTTCCAAGTACAAAAAGCTGTTATTTACTTTGTAGCATTTTGTACTTCTAAATTTCCCTGAGCATTCTAGTTCTGTGCTTGAACAAGCTGGCCTAGTTATTAGAGGAGTAACATATCCACTATGCTAACGAAGCATATCTAAAAGGATATACCAGTGTTCAATGCAACCAACGAATATTAAGTTATTTAATTAACAGTGAATATACAACTTTTGGCACCAAAACTGAAAATAAAAAAGCATGTTATTTACAATATCTTAATAAAAGTTTCCTTATATCTAAGCTAAAAATTATCAAAAGATGATCACCTGTTTTTCCTATACCACCATAATGTGTTTCACACTATTTTCTAAGAAGTCTTCCTTTACTTATGTAAAACTTTCAGAGGGTTTAAAGCAAGGAACATTTTAAGAAACAGTAACAACAACAACAACAACAAGATTACCTACTTTCAATTTAACACCACAAACTTCCCCATTTTCTACTTTCTCCCAGGGACTGCCAGAGGAGCAAGAGGAACAAGTTTCTATTTACTGGCACATTATTACGTGTAATTTTCTCCTCCAGTTCTTAAACTAAGAGAGACATGAAATATTACGTGTCCAAGGGTACAAGGTGCAGGGATGGCAAAAAGGGCTCTCTACAGCCACAGTCTTCTACTGATGACCTCTGAGCAGGCATTCATCCTGCTCTCCTTAAATTAAAGTCACAGAATTTTCACTGTGTTGGTAAACTGGAGAACACTGGAAGGAGTATTATTTGACAAAAGAAAAATAGTATTTTAACTAGGATACAGGGAAGCCATTTTCTGCAGCACAGGAAAAAAAAAGAGAACTTGACATTTATACTTTAAATTAATTAATTCATCTTCGGGTATCTTGGGGTTTGAACTTTCTGTTCTCCTCAAAGTAGTCATACAACATTTATGATTCAGCAAATTCACAATCAAAGAAAAAGTTATGTAGTCTACTATTGTTTTGTGAATAGTTAAGGACTATTACAGCTGTTTTGTTAATTCTTTGATAACATAATAACTAAGAAGTCCTTCTGCCACAGTTAATGCAAATGCTGAGATACAGCTGTATCCCCAATGCTGTATCAGTTTTAAAGGTCTTATTCACTATCCTTTTATGTTTTCATTTCAACAAATCCTACTAAAAGCAAATGACAATTCAGCATTACACAGCCATTTTTATTTTTTCAGTGTTGTTCCTATCTGTCAGCCAATGAGTAGTGCGTATTTATTAATATATAAATTATTCTTCTGGAATATGAAGATTTTTTTTTTAATATTAAGTTGCCAATTATGAACACCCAGTTTAATATAGAATCTGTGCAAACATAGACAACTTCAGTGCTGAAGTGTATTTTTAACATGCATATTTCTGCAGATGTATTTACAGAAAGAGAAGAGTTCACAATGATCTTCAGAGCTTTTAAATCTACAGACAAAGTAATAGGTCTTGCTAATGAAGTCAGTAATAACTCTCATTTCCCTGTTCAAATAATAGATCTGGAAAAGCTTCAAAGGAGCTGTTACAGTCTACACAAACTATCCCATAAGTATGTGTGAATCCTATTCTAGTCCTTAGTGAGCTCCTTTCCCTGTACATTTCTTGGCAAACTTGGCTCAGCAGTGACACGAAAACTAGTATGATGACATGCACCACAACACAGGAGCTAACCTATGGTAGCGGAGGAGAGGATAATTATAATGCGTGGAACTGAATTTCATTTAGTCAAATCGTTGTTTTAAATGGTGAAGAGACATGGATCAAGAAGTAACAGGAAATGAGGAAACCTTTCATTATGAATTATCTGCACAGACACTGTTTCTGAATGTTTACATATTTCTTATGCTCGATTAGCCCTTTAGTTACACAACAAATCATGGCGAAATCCAAATATACTACCTTCTAAGTTAAAGAAAATACAGTGAGAAAATGAAAGTCCTCTGTCTTTATATAGGGAGACAATTCCTGAGGAACCCACTTAAGTTGCTCACTGTACTTAAGGACGGATGGCGCTGAGGTCCGACTCCAATCAGACGGGGACTGAAGTGATCAGGGTTACAGTTCTGCAGCCTGCCATCGGCTTCCTATGTAACCATCAGTCAGTCACTTGATGTTTCAGTGTTTCAAGTAAACGTGCACAATAATATTTCTGTCTTCCTACTTTTCGTCTTATAACAAGCAATTTTTGGCTCTAACTTCCACTCCCAATATGAAGCCACAATCTCAGCTGGGTACTCCGGACACTACAGAAATACCAGTAAGTACATAGCCAAATAAAAAAAATTTAGTACATCTTAGAAGGAAATACATAGCTGAGTTTACATAAGCAGTTTTTTGAAACCTGTGAAATCCACAACATAACGTTCCAATTCAAGGAAACTACCAGAGAAGTTGCAGATTTAACTAAAACCCTGTCTGTTTCTTTCAGGGATATGATTGATAAGATAAACCATACTGAACTGAACTCAATTTCAGCAGCTGAAAATAGGCAAGTTTTTCCTAAATACTCAAACTTACTCACTTTTTTTTTTTGTCACCTGCCCAGAGCAAGCCTCTGGGATGCATGAAAATGATGGCCAAACTCACATAATGGGTGAAAATCTTGGAACTTGTTGTGATAGGAATCAGCAATGCTTTGCAAACTCCCTCCTTACCAGGTGGGCTCCACTGCACGAGAGATGGCACTCCTCTTCTAATGACTATATCCTAAGACTGAAAATAAGACTTATGCATTGTAATCCTGGTTCTAACTCTGACTCTCATTGCCAAAGCTTTTCATCATCAGTCATTCTACTCTAATTTCAATGCAGTAAAGGACAAACAAACAATGTTAACAATTGTGACTTTACTGTGGTAATACTACATATGTCATTTGAGGCTTTGGTAACTAACGACTGTGGGGGTGAGGGGAAGGCAGTGTCTGTATGCCTATACATACAAAGGAGAGACTCCAGTTCATTAAATATAAGCAAGCATACTCAAAGACTCAGATGTCAGCAACCTATAGACTCTCTGCTTTTTTGAAAAGTAGACTCTTTGCAAGTGCTTTTTTAAAGATTAGATTAAATATTCTAAAGATTAGTTTTCTAAAGATCAGTCAAGTATATAATCAGGATACATAATTTTAGCACAGTCCCACAGATTCCACCTCTTTGATGTAAACCTCAGGTTTGAAGATGTCCATCAAAAATTACGTAACTAAACTTTCTTCTCATTCTCAGATTTAGTTGACACTTAGAAATGTAATACATAGGCAGGAGCTGCTTTAACACTGAAGTAAATGACACGTCTGTACTGATGTACAGACAAGGTTAGAATAAAATGAAGCAGCATGAAATGAAAAAGGTAAGACCTGATGATTGGTCCAAGTACATTCAAACTCAGCATCTGGCGCAACAGCTTCCCTGTGACTTTTCATTTGACTTAGAAAGATCTGAAAATTCCAACGAATCAAAATAGATCATATTTAATATTTTATCTACCAGAGTCAAATTAATAGCAGCCAAGCCTATCCTAGAATGCATGATTTTCTTAGAGGCCATTCTCTTCAAAGAACATTGAACAAAACAGACTTAGAAAGAAATCTCGCTAATTTCTCATTAAATCAAAAGGAAAATTCAGCAAAGTACTCACGTGAACACAATTGTATTTTGAAGAAAATAATTTTGCATAATTTTAGCAAACCCAAACATAAATTCAAAACAAAACTTTCCATATGTTATTCTTCTGTTATATATATTTGTTTTTCTTCTAGTAGCAAATGATAAATGTTACTATTTTGGTGCAAATATGCTCAAGGAATAGTTAACAATAAGGAATTTATCAATGTATTTCTTTGTTAAGCTATTCTGTAAATTAAAACAAAAAGGGAAAGCAGTCACTTCAAGGTTCCTGTTGCATTTTTTAAATTAACAAAGCACTAGCTATGAAAGAAATTTCCTTTATAATAAAGAGTAGAAGTGACCTTCATACAGGTAAGCAAGAAAACGTCTTTTTTTAAAGTATGGTAAATGGCTTTTTTTCTTTACTGTTTAAGATAAGGAAGCATTTCAGTTTATATTTTCTCATTAACTGCACATTTCAAATGAAAAACTAATCTCTTCATGAACATACTCTAGAGTATAACATTCAGTTACTTAGCAACTTGTAGCACACACAGAAAATATCGAGTCAAAGATGTCACCCTGTTTAATACTTTCTCCCAATCCATATGAATATTGTGGATATTTTTAAATTTTGCATTTCCCAAACAAGCAAGCTACCATGTAAGCTATAAACCTCATGAAAAATAAAGTGATATAGACAGCCTTCTATTTGGCGTGACAGTCACAGAGCCCTTCAAATGGTAATGTGACTATTAGGTATGGGCATATCTCCCCAAAAACTTATATTTCCTTCTTATAAAGTGTACCAATATATGATTTTTCCACATTTCAAGAAATTCTAGATTTTAAGCTCAAACACAGACAGTGCTGAAGAGGACACATAATGAAGATATAGTAAGACAGTACAATTGGAAAGCATACGTTACTTCATAAGATACTCTGTTTAGCAGTCTGATCCATTCCAGGTGATTAAACAAACTAATTTAAAAGAAATCAAGTACAGTTATGACCTCAGCCTGAGAAAATTCTTTTCTGTTAAAGTAAGCACCTGATACAGATATAAGATGGATTCTAATCCTTTTTTTTAAGAAGAATTTATGAAATTCAAGTGATTCCTGAATGGTTTGTTCACCTATCGCAGTATATGGAATTTTTTTTACATTTTGGAAAAACAATCTACTGGTATTTTTAATGTAGAGGCTTACAGGTACGTGGACTTTTCTAAACATTTCAGCTCCTTTGCGTGCATCCAATAAAGCCACGTCTTGTGGAGTGGAGACGATCACAGCTCCTGGAAAAAGAACACATCAAATACCATGAAAATGTGTATTATTAATTATACTGTTAAATATTTTGACTATTTAGTACAGACTACTAAATTCAAAGTAACCACACATTTATATGCCTTTTTTTTTATTTAAGGAAGAAAATGATGATAGTTTTTTTTATTATGCAATGACGGAAATCACTGAGCTATGATATGAAATGATAGAAATAATTTAGATATTTTCATCATAAGTTTTTCTACACAGAAACCATTTATATTTTCTAAATGAGAAAATTGATCTAGCTGTCATATGACCATGGATAGAAGACAACATGGTCCACATGCTGACAGGTTGCAGAGGTGGTACTCTGGGAATATCTACACAGTAACTGTCCCATGCCATAATTACATTTGAAAGCTTTCGATTTAACAGTAAGCCTTGTCCTAAAATCAAGAGGCAGCTGCCTGTCATCAGACTGTTGCTTTCTGAACGTGCTACACTTTCTGATACAAGCGCTGGCAGGCACAATCTTGAAACGTTACATTAGACCAACACCAGTGCGTTTGTATGAATGATACCACCAAATAAGAGGCCAACTCATGCACACTTGCACTAGGTTTGAAAAAAGTACAGTATTGCTCACTGTTCAGACATGGCTCCAGGTTACCCGATAATTAGTACTCCCAGGAGTTATTAAACATATAAAACAGCTAGAACTCTTTGTCAAAGGTTAGATTCTAAAGTAAGCTTACAGGTTAATGTCCTCTACTACCCTGTATTACTTCTTGATTAATACAGCCTGCAAAACCAATATAGACATTATAATATTCCACACCACTTCAAAGAGCATCTTTTTGCATATGCTTAGGGTTTCAAGTATTATTTCTTTGAAACTTGCATCAAGAATCTGCTCATGCTCGTCCCTATTTTAGAAAAACGCAATGTAAAAGAGGACATTACTGGTCAATTGATTGGCTCTGGTTTCACAGTGACCATCCAGTCTCCGAAGTATCTGTTATAGAAACATCGCTGCAGAGCCGTGTTAAGCCAACCTCACACAAGAAATTTATGCCAAACTTCACACTAATAGAAATTACAACAGACAATTTTAGATGCATGGGACAGAGTTTCCTACTGGGCCTGCAGTTGCCAGCCCTTGGTGTACACAGCAAAGCAAGAGGCCGGTAGATTTCCAGAGGCGCACAACACGGGCATCGCTGGCACGGGCCTGGAGCACCGGGAGCCCTGGCGTCCCCAGAGCGCTCCCGGCTCTGGCACTCCTGAGCTCTGGCTCACAACGGCCCTACGCTAGCTGCTGGGTGGCATCTAGTCGGCGTGACAACCAGCCGTTTCCAAACACCGCCTGACAGCACGTTTGAATGTTTTCAACCAGTGTTCTTAACCTCTAATTTGTGAAAGAAAAATACAATCTGGCACCTCGCTCCTGAAAAGCTGCCAATCTCTGCCTTACATAATATTAGACACAAGTCCAAAATCCGAACAGCATATGTACTGTACTAAGCAAATGCAATTTCCCTATTGTTCACTAAAACTCTGGCATCCAAATAATTTGCTATTTTTCCCAAGCCGACCTGCTTCCAATGGGATCACAAAGAATAAGGTGGAAGCCTTTCAGTTACATCCAAGTCACCTTAGCCCCTCGTTTCACTGAAGTCTAGAGTTACGCTTTACAGCCGACATTGAAATGTAGGGCTAATTCCACAAAATGAACACCCTTCCCTAAAAGCACAGTTCACAAATAAGTAATTTAGATTCAATGTCCTCGCGTTTTCTGCATATTTGTAAACTAAAGATCTCTCAATACTTGGACAAAATGCTTATTACTGCTTTCTTTTCAGACAAAATTGGAAATTTGTGTCTTATATGTATACACTCACGTTAGTTGCTTCACACTTTTGTTCACACTCTTCTCTGAAGATGCTGGCTCAGCATTCTGTGGATCTTCAGGTAGAAGCTAACATGAAGTCAACAAAACTGAAGTCTACAGTTTCTGGTCCATTATTAATTTTTAAGAATCCAACAATTGGCACAGCATGAAGGACAGAGGCTATGCACAATGAAAACACCCACTAGAACCACAAGCAGCTTATCCGAGAAACATTTTTGACTAACAAATTCTGTTGCTAGAGAACCTCACCCAAAGGGAAAAAGCTAAAACGCCAAAAAGGCCCAATGGCACATTGCAGAGTTTAGGCTGCTGCAGACACCAACTCCCTGCATGAAAAAACTCTGGCTTCTGAAATACGTGAGTTAAAATTATGCTTGTGGACAACTTGCATGGCTTCTTCCACAGAATGAAAGCCAACATGCTCAAGAAGCTGCTACTTAGGGTGTAACAGATGTGTCTCTCCAATTTTCCTTTTCACTCTGAGCTGGATTACAGCCAAAATTTATTCCCAGCCAGCTTGTACTGAATTATACCAACGCCCTTTAAAATAAGTATCTTTTCTCTTCCTTTGGTACAACTGCTAGTCCAGCAAACCCAACCTGAAGTTTAAGAATTCAAATTATTAGCAGCATTATTTCCTTCACGAGGAACCGAATATGGCAAATGAGACTTTTCATGGTGCTCCCCTCCCTGAATAAGTTTGCATATGCTTAATTCAGAAAGTGATTCAAATGATGAGCAAGAAAGAACACAGCCCACACTTCCATAGAATCACAGAATCGTAGAACCGTTGAGGTTGCAAAAGACCTTTAAGATCATCAAGTCCAACCGTTAACCTAGCACTGCCAAGTCCACCACTAAACCATGTCCCTAAACACCACATCTACCCGTCTTTTAAATATCTCCAGGGATGGGGACTCAACCACTTCCCTGGGCAGCCTGATGCAGTGCCTGACAACCCCTTCAGTGAAGAAGTTTTTCTTTGTGATCTTGGCTCTACATGGTTAACAAGAACATCAAACAGTAAAGAGTTATTTTGATCAATAAAGTAACAAAATACGACTGAATTCATGCACACAGCACATCTCTTGAAGCAATACGTGCAATGTTTACACAAGTCTCTGTCTGAATGAGGCAAACTAACGCTGACAAATTAAAGAGAAGTTGCAGAAACTATAATGCTATCACATTGCACATTAAAATATACTACAAATTCTATGCTTGCAGTTGTGTGCAGAAGAATAATTTCTGTGCCTTAAGCATACTAGGGATATCTAAGTTGAGCACATTTAGGTTTAACTGACATATCTACTTATTCATGCATTCCGTTTATTTTTGTAATTTCACCGTATTTCAGTTGACAAAAAGCTGATGCATGTTGCATTAGTAAAAACTATGCTAACTATATTTTTAATCCTTAGCATGCATAATATATAGAGACAGAACTAACAGTAGCCTGTAACACTGATGTTTGCCTTTCTTTTTTAACCCCAGGTACTTAATCCTCAGCAAAAGAAAGGGGTGCCTACCCAGCACATTGGTACTCACCCTTCTGGTGGACTGGTGTTCAGAAAAGTACAAGCACTGAAACAGCCTGTAATTTCTGTGTATAGATAACATCACCTATATTCACTGCATCATTAAGGTTTGTACTAGATGCTCTGGGTTACAAAGCATAAGGTGGAATCTCTCCAAGCCTTAGCTATGGTCAATTTGTACCCAAGTGAAAAACAAGCAGGTCTAAAAAGCAGCTGATAAGCAGCAGTTTAGAAGGTCTACCTTAGGATGAAAGGATCTATCGAACATATTCTTTTTTCCCTCCAGTGTCTTCAAAGGCAGACTTCAGAACCAGGCTACGTGCATCTCATCCAGACAGATGATTAAGGACCCCTCTACACACACGTATTAGATTGTGTCTTATATCACCCTGATTCTCATTAACTGAGCAAATAATGCCTCCCCAAAACCTGTGGAGTGAAGTGTAACTGACCAGAAAGACTGACAAATAGAGTTCCAGAGGATAAAGACACAGAAAGATATACTGCATTTTTCTAATAATTGCATCTGCTGACTGCCAGGCATTATATGTTCTTGCAAGGAACCACATTCAGACCTCAATGCAGCTGTGGATGGCCTGACCTGACCACACCACTCATGCACTTTTTGTAGGTTTTGCTACCTTTTCCACTGCATCAAACTTCTAGGCGAGACTTTCAAGTTATAAATAGCCTGGTGAATCTGAATCTTCTCTACTATGGATCTCTTTAGAGTCCTTCTCACCTTCTGTTAAATTTCTTGTTAATTCATAGGTAAAAGGTGCCTGCAATTAACAGATAGAGTTTGCACCTGAAGATGCAGAACAAGGTCTTGCAAGAATGAAGACTTCTGCCTTTGCTAGAATTTCAGCTGGCAATGATTACAGATACATTGACATTTTAAAATGTCCATCTCCTTGCATAAACCTCGTAAAGAAGTTCCTTTAGCTTTTGTGTGTGACATCTTATTACAGCTAGCAACTTAAAACAATCACTAGTGTGATTTTCCCTTAAGGAATCCTTACTTGAGACTCATAATACAGCTCAGAACTGCCCCAAAGGCTGGATCCTGGCTGTGTCACACCTCCAGCCTGCTCACTACCTTCTTCTTGGAGGAGCCTTTGAACAACTGCTCAAACAGTGCATGTTTCCGACAGTCACACATCCTCTTCTGCCCACAAACTAGCGGGTAATTAGAGACTGGGGCACGACCGCCTTGCCCACATGAAAAGAGAACATAAATCTTAGAGCAAGCTTCTTCCTCCTAGCAAGAGGAACTGTCAGTGAAGCCATTGAGCAGAGGAATATCACAAGCTGGATAAAGCTGTCACCCTGAAGTTACACTGCCCTCATCTAACTGATCACTAAGTATTATAACATCCATTTCACACTGTATCACATGGAGAAAGACATGGAAAGACAACTCTTGCTGTGTTAAAATGTTTGGGTTTGGTCGTGGCAAACTGAATACATGTGTCACACTAATGCAATTTACAACACAATATTTGTTTAGCAAAGTGGAAACACTGAAAACATTTGTAATAACATCTGCGGACAAGCATTATTTGCAAAGTATAGG